AGCTGGAAAGCTCTCCCACGAGCCTTCGGAACCTCGGCCTTCACCGGCCTAACATCAGTAACATGCAATGCAGCAGGAGTGGAACCCTGGGCTGATCCCTGAACAAGCTGAGGTCACTCGGCCTTCCGATGGCCGGTCTGATTGCAGTGGAAACAGACTGCAAAACCCTTGGGGAAATCCTTCGCCATATGCCCCTCCTTCTCACATTTGTAGCAAATCCCTACCCGACAAGATCCCTCGTGACTCTTGTTGCACTTGCCACAAGTGCGACCCTTCTGGCCTCCTGGTCTCGGATCAGCAGGCTTAGCCCGCTTGGCTGCCGGCTACGACTGTGCCGGCCGCCGGTCTCTCCCCTGAGACTCCGCGTCCTCCCTCGCCTGAGTCTCCAGCTCGATCTCCCTCCTCCTGGCATTCGCCTGGAGCTCAGCAAATGTACGGTAAGATGAGTTCGCCACAAACTCCTGAATATCCCTCCTCAGAATGGTCAAGTATCGAATCATGCGAGCCTGCTCAGTCGCCACATGCTCAGGGCAAAACAACTCCCTCTCGTGAAACATCCGCGTAATCACAGTCACCGACTCTGTCTTCTGTCTAAGAGACATAAACTCCTGGGCCAACAGTTCCCTTTCCATAGGGGGGAACATACTCATCTCGAAACATCTCAACAAATCTCTCCCAAGTCACCGCAGCATGCTCTGCAAGGGTGAAACTAGCCGTCACAAACTTCCACCAGTCCTTCGCTCCCCAAGCGAAGCTGGTTCAGTGCGGATCGTACCCTCAAATGCTCTGGGCATGAGCAAGTATAGAAACATCCATCAACATCAGAGATCCACCTCATTACAGCAATCGGATCCTGAGTCCCATAAAACTCTGGTGGCTTCGTGTTGCTGAACTCCCGATACAGCAACGAGTCACCCCCTTGCGGTCTGGTAGCAGCGACAGCTGCGGTGGCTGCAGCAGCAGCCGTCTCGGAAACAGCAGCATACCGCTCATCAAACGTCTCAATCAAAGTGGTCTTTATAGACCCAAACATCTCTGGAATAGTCTCTCAGATGGCTGCGGCCACCTCGTCGTGAATCATCCGGCGAATCTCATCATCGCTAACTCCACTGCTCCCTGGGGTGTGGCGTGTACCTACCATGATGTATCTGAAACACAACACAAAATAATCAGAGACTCGCTTGAGCATACTCACACTCGACTACTCATCCCTACTTGCTCCTTAGCGTCCTAAGGGTTCTTACTTGGGTTACCTGCAGATCGGGTGATTCCAGTAGTACGGGCCCAATACTACCTTCCACACCCCCCTGTAGGCATCCCAAGTCCTCCTCCTTGGATTCTAATTCACAAATACTCTATACCTCACGAATCACAGACTACCTTCTCAGAAGACCCCCTTTAAGCTCATCTAAGTATCTCTTCCTAGATTAATTCCCGACTCAGAACTCAGCACATACTCAAACCATAACAGATAACACTGATCAAAGCATCCCCTAGGCTAAGGCATCATAGACCAGGCAACTCTAGCCCTAGAATATGAAATACCTAGATTACCCTCTAGCATTCAATTTTAATAAACTATCTCATAAATATCACGTAATACAAAAATAAAGGTATTTTGGGAAATCACCGTTCGGGCTCTGGCCGATTGTACACATCGCTTCAACTTGTTCCTCTTAAAACTCGTTCTCGTTTTGGAAAAATTCTTTTCTTTTGAAAATTCTTCTCAAATCCTCAGTTTGAGTCCAAACACACCAGGAGGTGTATTAGAATCCCTCAAACCAATGCTCTGATACCAACTTGTACCGACGTGAAATTTTAACCAAATTTTTAAATTTCAAAACACATTGATTTTAATAAATAACCATAAACTGCCACAATGTAAATTCACCAAAACCTATGTTCAAAAGAAAACAGTATATAAAAACTCCAGGATCCTCTAAATCATAAAACAATCTTCGGTGTGTGTACAATCAAGCCGGCGTCTTCCCGTGATCCTGAGAAGTACCTGAAACACATAACACATAACACGGTAAGCACAAAGCTTAGTGAGTTCCCCAAAATACCATACACAAATCATTAGCCACTCTAGGCCATAACTTAGTAAGACCCTCCGGTCAATGTGTCTCAGTGGAACCCTCCGGTCCCAACTTAGTAAACTCATAGCAACAATATTCAGCAATAATCACAAGACATAATGCATAATATTACAATACACAGATAAACACATAAAACAACTCAATCATATAAATATACCACTCTTGGTAAGTATAGTGAGAAGACTCACCTCGTAAGTAAGCTAAGTGAACGAATACTCTCACACACGAATCACCAAATCTAGCCTCCTCCTAATCACATAAGATAATTATATCTAATTAACTCTTTAAATTACACATTTTACTAAGTTATCTCTCTCTCTCTCTCTCTTGAAGTGGGAAAAAGACCAATTTACCCCTCCATGGTTTCCCAAAGACAAGGTTGATCAAACCCTAAGTCAACAGAAGTCAAACTCGAGTCAACGGTCCATGTTGACCCTACTCGTCGAGTGCACTTATGGGACTCGACGAGTCTGCTCGCCATCTACAGAATCACTCAAAAGTCTGGCTCAACTTGTCGAGTTGACCCGTCAACTCGCCGAGTTGCTGCGCGATCAAAACCATCGGGACAACCCCATCCGACTCGTCGAGTCGGCTCCTTGACTCGACGAGTCCATTCAGAATCATATCTCATTCAATCATTTTCAAGGCAGAGAACCTTCCCAAACTCTAGATCTATAATCCTAAGGCTCATCAATCACGTAAAGTCACATGCTTTACGTTCATGCATGGCATTTTGAGCTTAAATGCCAAAAAACACCCCAAAAAGGGTTTTTTTTCACTCAAGATCACTTTTATGGTTGGATAAAGTAGGGACTTTTGGACTCTAGGGACCTCACATGGTCCAGATCTGAAGTTTAACCCTCTCAATGAACATAAAACACTCAAGGTCCTCATATTTGGGTGGAAAAACCCTAGATTCACAAAATCATGAGATCTATACAAAATAATGAGAAAGGTACGAGCTTTATACCTTTCCCAGAAGCTTTGAAGTGAAACAACCTCAGATCTAGCAGCACCCTCTTGTCCCTTGGCTTGGAATCCTTCTATTCTCTTCACAAGATGCACCAAACACTCACAATTAGCAAAGCACTCTCTCTCTAAGCTCAAAGGTCGTCTAGGGTTTACTCTCAAGGAAGTGTAGCCGCAAATGAGGCGATAAGTGCCTTTAAATAGTCCCCAAACCCAGGGATTTAGGGTTTCTCATCCCAGCGCCTACTCGGCGAGTCGGCTCCTCGGACTCGTCGAGTAGGTTATTAAACCCACGTGGCACATAGCGACTCTACTCGACGAGTTGGGGCACCGACTCGTCGAGTAGCTCAAGAGATAAATAAATAAATAATTCACAATAATATACCTGGATGTCCGGATGTTACATGAGAGCACCATCAGATTGTTCAAATTGTTGATGTAGTTCTTGCCAAATCTCTTTTGAAGTAGGAAGAAATAGAAGACTATCAACGATTGTTTTTGAAACATAGTTTAAGAGCCAACTGATAATCACTGAATTTGTACAAAACCAATTGGGATATGTGGAAGAATTTGAGAGAGGTGGAACAATTGTTCCATCAACAAATCTGATCTTGTTCTTCGCAGACAAGGAGATAACCATCGATTGCTTCCAAGAGTTGAATCCAACACCGATGAAGACATTTGAAACAAGAACATAATACAAAGTGTCTAAAGATCCAATGAAGAAAGGACTAGATACATCGATCGAAGAAGTAATTGATTCATTTGTTGAAGAATTAGGCATGATGAACACGAATTTAAAAGAAAAATTATGAAGATTTATGAACATAATTGTTACATGTCTGATACCATGTTAGATTGTAATAAAATGAATGATGAGAGAAAGAAATTTGTGAAATGAATTTCTCATTAATGAAGATGATTTAATTACAAAGCTTATATACAAACTACAAGGTAAATAACTATTGTAACAACTTTCTATAACAAAATTACATAAATGCCCTTATGGTTATGATCAACTAATAACATAAATAACAGCTTTGTAAACCAACACATGAAGCATCATAATAAAACAAAACTGGAACTTGAAAATTAGCAAAGAAAAATAAAGAGTTTTAGGTACGTGCATAGATTACAAATTTATGAAAAATTTACATTTTATCAGCATCATTTTCATAAAGCAGAGAAACTTAAGTATGCACTATAGTTTCATGTAGTGATTCTTTTCTTCTCGTAATGGTGTCTTTTGATTTTTGATGGAGAAAGTTGATGCCTTTAACAAACATGATCATGGTGTTTTTTTGAAAGAGCCACATGATCATGTTGTTATATAGGGAGTTAGAACATAAATGAAGAACTCTCATTTTCCTTGTGATGATTTATAAGTGTAGGCATTGTATTAAGTGTATCAGGTTATGAAAAAGAGTTTGAAACCACATAAATATAGACCCTTAAGTTAAGGACAATTATCATATCCATCATACTATAAATATTTAAGTCTAGAGACCAGATATGTTATTATATCAAATATTATGATACATAATGTAAATATACCTGACATGTACTAAGTATTAAAAAATAGTTTTAAGTTCACCGTAATCGTTATTTTCTAATATGATAGTCACATGACCTTGAAATATGGTGTTTCCACTAACTTAATGAACCGTTTGCTTAATTTATAGGGTGTAAACAAAAATATCCGACATGTAAATTTTCTTAAGAATCCAAACAAAGTAAAGTTCAATATCGACCTGACAGCTCAAAATCAATTCAAACGATGTAACAATCTTTATAAAAATTATTGGGTTGGGTGTTAAAGTACACGACGAAAAAAAAACAAAATGTCAGAAAAAGGAACAACGAATAAAAATAAATAATAAATAAATAAATAAAGCTGGAGGCGGGACAATAGAGGCATTTTAATATACGACCATGAAAAAGTCTGAAACCGTTGACGAACACCGCAGCCCTTCCCTCTTGACGAATTGAGCACTTGAACTTTGACCTTTTTCAGTCTTCACCTTCTTCCCCATTTCCGACACCTTCGATCACGATCGTTCTTTTTGGCTTAGCGTACGTCTGTACCCCTTCTTCCAGTTGGTATTTTGATCAAGAATTCACTTTTTTCCTCATACAAGCTTCACAATCTCTCAGTTTCTTTTGGGTAAGTATTTCGTTCACTCAAGATTTTATCATCTGGGTGTGTTTCCGTCTGTTTTATTTTTGTGGGTTTTGCGCAAAAAATACGTTTCAGATGGTGGAATCATGAACTTGAGATATATAAGTAGGCAACTTGGTATTTAATTATTTATGCGTAAATCATAGTTCGTTCCAGAAAGAAGGGATATACATCTTTGACTGTATATCTACAGTCCTTTTAACTTTAAAATCTGTAATAATTTTTAAATTATGTAAGGAAAGTTTTTAAACATCTAATTTGCTACTACTACAATACGAATTCAATGTTCTTGCAGTTAACTTCTACATCAAAACACCAAGGGTAGTACTTGCTGTGTTGTGTATCTATTGCGTCTCTTGAATTTGTTATAAATATCATTTGGTTTGAATAATATTGTCTTTCAATGTATGCCAATTGAACTGCTTTCGGATTCTAACTTCTACACAATTTTAGTGAATATTCATATGACACCCTAATGTTTTTTTTTTCAGCTTAGATTTCCCGAGTCTTTTTTTGGATTCACTAAAGATATGGGAGCTCGTTCTTCAAAGAGTTCAAACACTAAAAAAGGGTCATCACATGCACATGGACATCATGTTACGGGTATACAACCACATGAGTTGAAACAATTACCTTTTCAAGGAGACAAGACTCCTTCAAGAATGAGCACTGATAATTCCACTCTTGAAAACAAACAAACAAAAGAACCCGTTTCTACTCCCAAAACAAACGTGTCCGAATATAGTGCCAATGAGGATGACTTTTATGATGGAATACCTCGCTTCCCCATGACTTTATCTGAAAAATCAAAATCAAGAAGTTTCAGGGTATGTAATTTTTTCACATTGGCTACTTTTTTTGATGCTTTTAGGGTAGGATAGTGTGGGCCCAACCAGCTCAGGGGTAGCTAGAATATATATGAATTATTTGGTGTTGCCATTTTTACCCTTTTTGATTAGTAAAGTATCAAAAGATTCGTATTTTGCTGAATGTTTTCAGGTGAGTGCACGTAAAGCTGGTAGCTTAGGGATAGAAAAAGCTGTTGGTGTATTGGACACTCTTGGAAGCAGTGTCACAAATTTAAATTCCAGAAGTGCTTTCGTGATGGGTCCCACAACAAAAGGCAATGAACTATCTATATTGTCATTTGAGGTTGCCAATACAATCATGAAGGGTTCGAGTCTTATGAATTTTCTCTCAAATCAAAGTATAAGACATTTAAAAGAAGTAGTGTTTCTTTCTGATGGGGTGCAAAATTTAGTATCTAAAGATATTGATGAGCTTTTAAGAACAGTTGCTGCTGATAAGAGGTTCATAAAAATTAAAATCGTTCCTTTTTCATGATCCATGATCCATGAGCTAATTTATTTTTGTTGATTGGATATATGGATTTTGTAGGGATGAGTTGAAAATATTTAGTGGAGAAGTGGTTCGTTTTGGAAATCGATGTAAAGATCCTCAGTGGCATAATTTGGATGTTTATTTTGAGAAGTAAGTTGTGCATTTTTTTTTTCTTTTATGAAGTATATATTTTGTTATTAAATGCTATGTGGTTTTCATTTGATAAATAATTGTTTTGGTGTGTAGACAAAACAGGGGACTCACACGTGGTAAGCAATTGAAAGGGGATCCAGAAGTAGTGATGGAGCAATTGTTGACCTTGGTTCAACATACAGCTGTAAGCATCCTATTGGTGAATTTTGTTTTTTTTAAATGTAAAGATAAAATAGTCATTTAGTCTCATTCATATGGCTTGTTCTGTCTAGAAAAGAAATAGACTTTATGTATACAACACTTTAGCCGGACCTTACTTAATGCAAAAAAGCCCCTAATGGGAATATATGAATAAATTTTGTTTAAAAAACATTTGAGAAAATGAAGATTGAAGACACACTTGGGGAAACAGAAGAAAGGAATTGATGATGGCAAATTTGTAAAAAAGTTAGGGCTTAATGGGTATATATGAATCATCAAAATGATTTTTTGCTTTTGGTTATTACGTTCATGTTATTTAGAATTATGATGATTATGTTTAACTTTGAAATGAAGCGTATTGTTTATTTATTTATTTTTTATATTTTTTTAAGAGATAACTGGACACTCTTTGTGGTTCAGGATTTGTATAGGGAGTTAAGTGTATTGGACAAACTAGGGCAAGAAGATCAACAGAAGCATCAAGAAAGGGCTAATTCTAGTCCAGTTTCAAAAGGTGATTTATCTATGTTTTTGTCGTATACTTCATAAAGTTTTTATAATAGTTTATAAAATATTTTATGACACGTTAAATCTACAGTGTCATTTTCAGGTCATGAGCTTATGTTTCTTAAGCAAGAACTAAAAGACCAAAGGAAGCAAGTAAAACTTCTAAAGAAAAAGTCGCTTTGGTCTAGGAGTATGGAAGATGTACGTTTTCTTTTTCATGATTTCCATTATCGATTTCTACTTTGAAATGGAAAAAATTTAATTGATAATTCAGATATATTAATGGAGTGAGTTTATTATGTGATACAGATTATGGAAAAGCTTGCAGATACTGTCATCTATCTAAATAGGCAAATCAAAAATGTCTTCGAATCCGCATGTATGTCAACATTGGCAAATTCAACCCCTCAATTCTTTATCTTGCTATAAGGGCCCAACTTCCTTCCATAGCTCTTAAATTTAGTCAATAGTCAACACAATGTTTTGTTGATAACATTTTTTCAATTTTCAAAACATATCCTTCGATCATGACATAAAATCTTTCATGTATAATGGGTTTTCAAATGAAAAAGTCGTAGTTTGATAAAATATTAATATTTTTATGTTTATATTCATGGATTTGAGTTGTTGATGATTGCAGATGATGATGTATCATTAAGCGGATGTCCAAACATGCAGCATAAACTCGGGCCAGCTGGACTTGCATTACATTATGCTAATATTGTCCTTCAAATTGACTCGATTGTATGGATAAATTATAATAATAAAATATTCAAGAAAATGACTTATTGTGGAAAAAACTCAATATCCTGACTCTCTGTATTAAGTCAAAAAGAAAGACCTATTTATTTTGGGTTGATGATTTTGTGTTATTTGATTAGGTTTCTAGAAGCAGCCCTATGACTTCCATTGCAAGAAGCACATTATACCAGAGTCTACCACCAGATATAGAATTATCTTTTCGATCCAAATTAGCTTCATTTCGTGTTGGAAAAGAGGTACACTAACTTTTCTACTAGGTAGTTTTTGGTATGATGGAATTGGAGAAGGAATGGAATCTGATTCCTTCCATTTTGTTAATTTTCATCTTTTAGGCACGTGGTGTTTTTTAAGTCCAACTTGGAAATGAAATAAATTAATGTTTTTTTTTTTTTTTTTTTTTTTTTAAAACAGCTAGAAAATATTTTTTATTATATTCTTATTTTGGTGTTAATAAGCTTTTATTATTTTAATTTTTTAGTTTTGAAAATGATCAATTCTATAGTAACTACTAGATAATATATAGAATATTGTTTTAACCATACCATTGTATTTACATGTATATAAAAAATTTCATTTAATTCCTACAGACCAACCAAATGTGTTCATGGAATGTAATCACTCATTCCATTCCATCAACCCAAACACACCCGAGTTTCCTTTTAACGATTCTACTAATTAAGAAGTTCATTGTATGTTCATTTTTTCAGTTTGATCTTCAAGATATTAAAGCCGAAATGGAAAAAACTCTCTGTTGGCTTTCTCCTGTGGCCATAAACACAGCAAAGTAAAGAGATTTCAGCCTCTTTTTCTTTCTTTCTTTATTTTTTTTCATTTAATCAATCGGTTTTTCTCTCTTTTTCTTTGTGTTTTCAATAGGGCCCATCATGGTTTCGGTTGGGTTGGCGAGTGGGCAGACACCGGGTGAGTTCTTGTGAAAATCCATCTTTATTAGAAAGGGCAAAATGCAAGAACTAACAACTCATTTTATTTATTTATTAGCATCTTACTTCCATTTCTTTCTTTTTAATCATTGTATTTTCAATCTTTTTATTTATTAGCATCTTACTTTCATTTCTTTCTATCAGAGCATTGCACTTTCAATCTTTTTCTTATTAAAGCATTGTACTTTGAAAAACCTACCAAATTATAGCATTGTACCTTTACATTTTTTTCTTATTAGCACATTATACCTTGAAAAATATACACAATTATATCAGTAAAAAATTGATTTCTATTTAAATGACATTGCTATGATTGGGTAGATTTTTCAAAGTACGATGCTATAATAGGCCGAAATGAAAGTAGGATGCGATAAATCTTTAAAAAACAAATCAATGAAAGAACATTGCCTTTTCTTGCTTATAACCGTGTTGAAGTTATGAAAAGTCACATGGGTTAAAAGATGAAACTGGTATGTTCTTTATGAAGTTCGGTCAATCTTTTTCTTATTAAAACATTGTACTTTTAATATTTTTCTTATTAGCACACTATACTTTAAAAATCTACAACAACTACATGTAAAAATCGTTTTCCATTTAGATGACATTGCTTAATTGGATAGATTTTTCAAAGCACAATGTTGTAATAGGAAGAAATGAAGGTATGATGCTATAATAAACAAATTAAAGAAAGTACATTGCCTTTTCTTGTATTTCACCCTATTGAAACTATGAAAATCCACATGGGTTGAAATATGAAACAAGTTTATTCCTTATGCAGTCCGGGAGGAGGGCGTAAACCAAATGGGCTAAATGATATAAACCGGATTGAAACATTTAACCATGCAAACAAAGGACAAACCGAGTTTTATATTGTTGATATGTTGTTGTGGCTCAACCATTTGATAAACCGATCCAAGATAACTGCAAATGTGGATGAAATGCAGTCAAATACAGAGTCCCCAAAAGATCAAAATCAGAAACCATCACAAGAAGCTTCACATGTCATGCCTCTTTCAAGCTCAGATGACCTTGTTTTAGAGCAAAAAGATGCTACTATTGTGAAGTGCATAGAAGGAAGTGAAGAAAGTAATAATGGTCTTGTGGATGTTGACTTTGATTTGGGACATGAGAATGAAATTTAGTTTGTATGTGTAAATAGACAGAAGGGTTTGTATGCATGAACCATGAAGATGAGCTTATAAGGGGTTCCATGAGCATTCTAGTTATGTTTGTTGTGGTTAGGGGGGATGTTCATGTAATGGTGGATATGAATATGTATGTCTTGTAAAAAAAGTTGTGTAAAGAGAAAAAAAGGTGAAATTTATCGCAATAATGCATAACTAGATTTTTTTTTTTTTTTTTTTTTTTTTTTTTTTTTTTTGCTGTAAAGAGAGTCAGGTGTATTTATTAGCAACGTGCTTTTATCAATTTATTTATTATAGTATTCTGTTTTGAGTCGGTTATATTGCAAGTCGTTTATATTGCAACTCTGACAATCTATTTAATCATACCAAGGTCATCCACATACAAAATAAATCATTGCTTTGACAAAATGATATGATTAGTCTTTGTGGTTTACAAAAAGTTTGTGTGTTCAATTTTTATCTTTTTCCGTTATGTTGATTATCCATTTGGTTTCAATTTCTTGTGAGGTTGATCATTAATGCATGTAAGATGATTTTTGTGCTATTTTTAATTTAATTTAGACTTTCTTTTATATATTTTGAACTACTTTTAATAAAAAACAATAAATAAAGTTGACTCACCACACTCACCCTACTGTCCTCTCACTTTAACCCCATTCTTTGGTTTACGTTCCAAACTCCTCATCGTCTTTCTCTCTCAATCGAAGAAAAGCTCCAGAGCCACCGGTCTTTCCATCTTTCCAGAGTCTATGCAACACCGTAAATTTTCAAATAAAATTTTCATTTAAAATCGCATTATTCTCATAACACATTTCGCAAAAATCTCATTTATTTGAATTACAAATCGCAACTCCTTAATTGTTTGATTCAAATCCAGGATCCTCAAAACATAACTCTGTCACTGGTGTGTACAATCAAGCCGGCGCTTTCCCGCGATCCTGATAAGAACCTGAAACACATAACACATAACGGTAAGCACGAAGCTTAGTGAGTTCCCCAAAATACCACATACAACACTTTAGCCACTCGAGGCTATAACTCTGTAAGACCCTCCGGTCTATGTGTCTCAGTGGGACCCTCCAGTTCTAACTCTATGGACCCTCCGGTCTTAACTCTGTAAGCTCTGAGTAATACACAACATAAATCACAAAGAAATAATGCAGGATATCACAGTACACAAATAAGCACATAAGAGATCTCAGTCACACAAAATACCACTCATGGTAAAGTATAGTGAGAAGACTCACCTCGAGGCACGCAAGCAATTATCCTTGTACTCGAATCTCGAACTTGCCACCGCCTAACACATAGGGTAAATATTCTCTAATTAATACTCGATTCTCGGCTCTAAGTAAACCAAAGGTTACTCTTTCTCTTTCTAACTCCGAAAGTGGGTAAAAGACCATTTTACCCCTCCATGATCTCCATTACTCACGATTGTCTCAACTCTAAAGTCAACAGAAGTTGAACTCGAGTCAACAGTCCTTGTTTGACCCGACTCGTCGAGTACACTCATGCAACTCGTCGAGTCCACTGACATCCTCAGAAGTCTCGTGAAGGTCCAACTCAGCTCGTCGAGTTGACCCCCAACTCGCCTAGTTATCACATGATCAAGCTCATCGGGACACACCCTCACCGACTCGTCGAGTCAGCCTATGGACTCGGCGAGTTCCTTTGGTCTGATTTCCCATTCAGACGTCCAAAGCCAGATCTATCATTCCAAACCCTAGATCTAGCCCTTTAAGACACAAAAGTCACACAAAGTCTCGACCTTTACGTTCATGCATGGCATAAATGCCTCAAAAATGCCAATACAAAGCCCTTCAATGGTTTGGTGCTCAAGGTCTAGTCTCTAACTCAATAAAGTTGGATCTTTGGTCTCTCAAGTCCTTCTACAGTCCAGATCTGAGGTTTCAACCTCAAGATATGCTCAAATAACTCATTGCTAAGAATGGATGGGAGAAAACCCTCAAAATCTCCCTAAACTAAGATCTCACAAAGGAAAGGTCAAGATAGGAGCTTTTTACCTTTACACTGAAGCTAACCACTGAAGAAATCTGGATCTACAACCCCTCCTTGATTGAACACACCAAGCTCTCCAAATCTCCTTCAAAGGATGCACAAACCACTCAAATTAGCTCCTCACTCACTCTCTAGCTCTAATGGCGATTAGGATTTGTTCTCAGGGGTGTAGGGTAACTGGTGAGGCGTAAATGGGGGCATAAGTTCCCTTATATAGGCCCCAACCCTGAGAAATTAGGGTTTTTCTGCCCAGCACCTACTCGGTGAGTCGGTTCTCTGACTCGTCGAGTTCACTCATTAATTCCACACAAGCAACTTGACTCGACTCGACGAGTTGGACCCTCAACTCGTCGAGTCTCTCCATAAATCTCAAAATTAAAATACACAATAATATACCTGAAAATCCGGGTGTTACAGTCTAAGGTAGACCAAATCTCCCACCTAAAATCCGTGATCACGTCGACAAGCGTTTGGTTAAGTCGGCCATTCTATGTTTTGCTCTACATAAATTGTCTTTCAATAGTGAATGTAGGTGGTGATGTTCCTGCAAGGTGGAGTTTATAGAGAAGGTTGGTGAAAATTTGGGCTGCTAACGATTGACCCACTCGTACCAACGAACTGACCCTCGCGGTACCCCTCGTACCAATGAACTGACCCACTCATGTCTAAGGCACCAAATGACAATCAATACCCCTCAAATGGAACCCACCTCTGAATCCGGAATCTCTTTTTGCCCACTCAATACACTACCAAAGCCAAACTCAAACTCGAGAGTCTGGTCCGACCCAGAATTGAAACCACTCGACCCAAGGAAGCACTCAACTCATAACTCATGACTCGCAACCTACGCGTACATCACTTCTCCAATTCCTTCTGATTGAGGTAACCCCTTCTCAACGTGGGATATAACAATTCTCGACCGACACGGAGACCCCAGTCTCGCCCCTGTTCCGGCAACCAGGTTTTCGAAGACTCAAGCGGTAAGGATACCGAAGCCTAAGAACTCCTCTGTGTCATACTCTGATTAGTGAATACTACAGCTCCCTGAAGATTCACAATGCTCTCCCCCTGACTAGTGAAAGCTACGGCTCCCCGCAGTTTCACAACGCTCTCCCTCTGACTGGTGAAAGCTACGGCTCCCCGCAGTTTCACAACCCTCTCCCTCTGACTGGTGAAAGCTACGGCTCCCCGTAGTTTCACAACACTCTCCCTCTGACTGGTGAAAGCTACGGCTCCCCGCAGTTTCACAAAACGCTCCCTCTAACTGGTGAAAGCTACGGCTCCCTGAAGTTTCACAAAACGCTCCCTCTGACTGGTGAAAGCTACGGCTCCCCACAGTTTCACAACACTCTCCCTCTGACTGGTGAAAGCTACGGCTCCCCGCAGTTTCACAATACTTGCTCGACGATTGGTGAATACTACAGCTCTCCGTAGTATCACCACACCCTCTCGTTGACTGATGAATACTACGGCTTCCTGCAGTACCACCACACTTTCTCGCACTAACTCATGGATGCTGCAGCTTCTCGCAGTCTTACAACACTTTCTCTTACCATCCTACTATCTCATTCTCAAGTCGACGCCACAATACGTTCACTAACTCATGCTCCGCGGCTCAGCATAGGTAGGTGCACATACCCTTCCAAAATAAGCATCACTACGCTTGACATCAACTGTCATGACAACTCGTTTTCTCGCCGCAATTCACATTCTTAGATACTATCGCTTGATGTCAATTAGCCAAAGGGGCTCCCACTGGAACCATATATACTTGATACACCACTTGCCATCTCTTAACTCAAGACTCAAAATAATCTGAAATTTAGGACATCATACTCGGACACCTCGTTACACCATCACAGAACCTTACGTTGTCTTGCCTCAACCACTGATCCCTTACTCACGACATCATACTCAGATACCGCATTCCCCTTTCAGAATCTCACAACTGATCTTCCCCTCGCATCACTTGTAACCTCGGAATATCCCCATCTCACAAATTGCAACACGGGGAATCGACTATGACTGAAAGCACGTTGACGAAAATCCGAAGCTCCACCCTCTACTGATCACCACCCATACGAAACTACTCATCCCGGCTCTGGAATTGGTTGACAAATCAATTGCTGCCCCTAATGGAGTATAGATTACAATCTACATCTATACCCGCAATTTTTAGCTAATACACCCTGAACTCAGCGACCCAACCGTCTCGAACTCCATATTTGCAAACCCCAGAAATCCCTAGCCACAATAAATTCTCCAACGCAAAGGCCACAAGCCGTGGATTCACTCATCCTTGATTAAGCACATACACATACATCATCTCGCCTCATCCACCAATAACCCAGGTCTCATGTGTCCACACCGTAGATCTTCATAACCATCTCTCTAATCGTACTTGAACGGATCGCTGATCCTCTCAATAGAATACCTAGTTCTTCCCCACTTAGGGTTCTAACTATAAACCAATTGGCATACCAACAATCTACTCCATAGACTGTTTCTCCAGGTACATCACACTTGACTCTTGAAACGTACCGCGCAATCACTCAATGATCTCCCCGATGGAAACCAAGCAACTCCAAATATCCCGTATCTCCGACAAAAACCTAAGAGTCCTCCCAACGTGACTGCCTCTAGTCATTTTGAATGCCTCTAACCGACACACCGCCGGATACCCCGACTGTTCCGAAACAGTCCTGACTCTCAATCTGGAAATAATGCACTATCACACACCTTGTCTCTGATTCCTCGACCAGCCTCCTATCGCGGGAAATTATAAAAGCAAGAGACCTCATTCTCACAGTCGATACACAATGTAGACAACGAGGGCCACCGCCCCGATGTACTCCTCTTAATCACCAGGAACTGCTGCTAAAAGTATGCCTCACCCGTCAAGGCACCTTCCTTAGTCTCTCCCATCTCAGTCTCACTAATGACTTTCTCATGGCATAAGAATACCTCGCAGCAGCATACTGCCCAAATACTCTAGTGGAAAGGTTGCAATCCTATGCTACCCACAGGGTTGCCTCCAAATTCTGAAACCGGAAGCTCGCTATCTCTTTTGCTCCTCCCACGTAACGGGAACAACGCAACCCTTGTCACAGAAGGTGACGTCTCATCTATCGATCGATTGCTCAACTCAGACCGCGATCCTTCG